TGACTTATTAAACTATAATATCCGTAGTTAATCAAAAGATACAGGTATGATGGCTAATCTTGATTCCTTTTAGAACCTTCTTCAAAGGGGAACTACGTGTCACAATATCCTCAATTTTAAAACATCATTCTTCATTTTAATAGACATCCTTGGCATGTAATACTATCATTTGTTAGCTTGTCTTACCAAACTGATATAAAATTTCAAATTTTCTACATCTATCAATCAATCAATTAATCAATCAATCGCCCATTAAAAAATAAAAATATATTTAATATCATCTTGATTACCTTATAACTAATCATTTCCATTATCTAGACGCTATTTCAATAAAAACTTAATTATCCATCTAAACTATTATCATTGATTTGGGGGTATATATTCATAAATATTTTAAATAGAAAAATATCAACGATTTTGGTGGTAAGATTCTTTTCGACCATTAGGCTAATAATCATCGCAATTATTGATTGCTAAGAAGCGAGTGATTTACTTCTCGGTCATCTCTACATTTATTTAATATCTTGAGAACTTATTAAAGCATTGATATCTTCAAATAGCGATCGTTTATGAAGTTATTTAACTAGTATTGATAGATGTCAGAGTTTAAGAAACATGATTTTTGAATCAATGTATGTTTTTATATCAATTTTGTTATATAATTACCATTAACTTATTAATCAACCTGATCAGTGCATCATATCAATTCCATCTGTGTTAGTATATTGTCAAGAAGGGTATAAATAATAACAACAACAACAAAAACACAAAAAGACTTTATTATCATTGATTGAGAAGCTAAGACAAGGAGGTAAGTGTCTAAAAATATGCAACATAAGAAAACAAGTATTGATTTTCTTCTCTTATTTTAAAACGTTTCAATGATATTCGTGTTATTACCATCAAATTCTTTATACGAGATTAGAAATACAGTTAGTGTGCAAATGAATAGAGGTTGTCCTTAATGAAAAAAAAGGATGGCATGAAAATGAATGAGTAAAAGTCACTTAGTCATTCTGTACAGAGTGCAAGAAATAAAGGAAATCATAAGATAAACTTATATCAATATCTACTTTATCCATAAGTAGTTACCCGTTCGTGATGCATGACTAAGAAATAAAACATTAAGACGCGAACAGAGATTGTTTCATTGAATTATAGTTCTCTAAATATATCATTATCTTCTTTTTTTTAATTTAGGTATTAATTTTGTCATCTAATTGCATAAGATAAACTTTATCCCATAAATCTTCCAATAGAGTAAGAAAATGTCGATTTCACTTAAAATTAACATCCATTAATAATGTCAGCGATTAGATCCCTATGACATCTTTCTATTTTACAATTTTGTATTTTCAACCCGACTAATTCTAAAATTAGTTTTAAATGATTTGATTTCATTACATATCATAGGGAGAATAAACAAGATGAGTACTGTTGTATGTTTTGATGACAATCCAAGAGGGAAGTAAATTGATAACCGACGCAGTTATAATGAGTAGATTAATGATGTCCATATTGAAATTTTATCGATCGCCAATCGCCTTGTTGATACAATTCGATCACCCCTGCATGATATTTTAAAATCAAATCTTGTCTTGTCTTTACATACACGTCATTGAAGTTGGGAAATAACTACGTTAATAAACTCCAACAATAGTCCATTAAAATCAGTTAAGATGATTAGGTCATGATCAAAGACAAATGTTCTTCCGTAACAATAATAGTCCAAGTAGTAGTTTGATAAAGTATAGAATATAATCGCAGCAAGGGCTCAACATCCAGCTGTTTAGATTAAAACACCGTTGGTGGTTGATTGGCAACACGACATCATGCATAATAGCAATTCAGGTACTTATATGAGGATTATTTTATTCTCTGTTGGACTCATCATGATGATTGTTTTCGTATATCAAGTTAGTTCCAACAAATACTACCGGTTTATTAAGCATAAAAAGGAGAAAAAAATGAAAAGCCATGAAGAGTGTACAGTAACAGATAGAAAAATAAAATTAGAAGTATCTGATTTTATGCTGATCTATTTGTAAAGATATGCATCTAATACGACAGCCATATTTCCTTTATAATTTTTGATTTCCTCTATACTTTTTATTCTATGTGTCTATATGTACGCATATGCATACATATAAACAAATATCTATTTTTTTATCCCCTATTCTCGTATTGTCCTCTATCATAATTTGTTATTATTAGCTATTGACTCGAGAGTTACACAACTTTACTTATTGGATTGAATAAAATGTGCTGTTGAAAATCGATTAATTGAATCAATATTTTTCTTCCTTCTCTGTCTTTACCGTTGCTTTGACTAACTTAATTTGATAAAGTTAATATCTTTATTTTGATAGCCTAATGTTGTACTACACTATTTACGTTGATTTTAACTATATTGTCGTTTTCTATCTAGAAATAGATGGAAATTGATTCCATTTAGGTAGATATTATGTCGTGCTATTTGCTTGTTGCTAATTTAATTCAATGTAGTCTGATTTCTAAGACAATCGTCCAAAATCTCGACAGGTTTTCTCCTTGTCTTTCTTTGGTGGTACACTACTCTATCTTTGATTTATTATCCCTGTCACGATGATATAACGTAGATAGAGATAAAATAAAATAATCGAATTAAGAAAGAATGACAAATACAATTAAATAGAATAAAAGAAGGGTACACCAAAGTGAATCACCTGGCCTACAGTGTGGTTTATAGTATTATCAATGATAGAGTAAGCAAACAATACAGTGTAGAATCAAATTAGTTGAAAGAATTCTCTAATGCCCACCTAGCTTTTTGAACCCTTAGTCCTTATCTCTTTAGCGTAATTTTTAGTTTAGCTATGAAAGGATAATAAAAGAAAAGGTATAAAAGACAGGTTCTAAATTCTATTGAAATACGTGTGAGAGAATGAAAGAATAGAAATCAGTTAGCAGGAGGTGTGGGTGGTAGTTATCGGCAGGAGATAGAATAATGCAACTTTTAAAAATATAAGCAAGTTAATTGAATAGCCAATTCTATTTTTTGTTGGCATCAATACGCACATGTTGTACGTCAATTTGATAGATGGTTATATAATTCCAACGTACAGTTCAAATTCTTTCATTTACTCAATCACTTCTTGTGATCAGAATCATTTCTAAATCTTTCAACTCTTGGGCTCGCTCTCTATGGACAGTTCTTCTAGCGTTGCAACAACAATATTAGCCATAGCTTGACTTCTTCTTTGACTTTAATTATACATAATTTTGCCTAATTTCTGTTCATTTGAAAATTTTTTTTAACGATCCTATTGGCATTGGTTCGCTATCTATCGTACTACATATCGATTTTGTCAACTGTAATTAAACATTTAACAACATTCTATTTCGATCAATTAGATCATTACACATACTGTTTTAAATACGAAAATTACCTTTATCGTTGTGCTGTAAAATTTACCGATCGGTAACTATCCACTAGACGCTTTAATACCTCTTTCTGCTTTGGAGGCGATAATATACAGAAACGAAAAAGATTTGGAAAAAAATAAAAAATTGATTGCTTTCTCGCAAACCCATCGAAGTATTCAAATTAACACAAGGTAAAAAATGACTTCATTTACGCGTGACTTGAATATCGTAAATTGTTTATCTTATCGTATCTATATTTATGCCGTTATGGTAGTTTTTTCCTTTTATCTATCAAAATTAATTTATCTATTTTTTAATTCTATAATAAATCATTGATGTAATTGCGCCAATGATAATAATGAGTATTTTAACACGATCGACTTGTTTTTTATTGATATTGCGTTAATATTGATATTAGCGGGTTGAATAATAACTAATTTTAACCTAATTTTAGGTTCGGTCATGAAGTAGTGTAGTCATTGTAGTAGTGTTGGCCCAAAATATCATTGGCAAATAGTATTGTAGTTCATGATAGGATTGAAATCGTAAATTCCATCGCATTACGGTCTATACTTGTATTCTTGTTACTTGCCACTTCATAATTTTAAAAGTACGATGAGAAGCAATTAAAATTGAAGAATATCGGCTTAACGTTAGCTCAAACTCCATTGATTTATTATCTTATTAGCTCATCCTATTTAACTATAGATAACAAAGTCGATACTATTTGTATTGATTGATCATTTGAACAATACAGTAGTGAAGGAGAAGGAAGATCCATTTAATAGCAAGTGATACTTTCGGTCTGTTGTTAGTTTACGTATTCAATGTTAATTATGTTAATGAGAATAAGCGCTACATATTATTTCCAATCAAGAACTAGTTATCGATAGGTGAAAAGTATGAGGAATATAGACTCTAACATAAACCCGTACTAGGACTACTGCACTTTACATTTAATTGAAATTTTAGGTTTAAATTTTGTTATTCAAACTCTTTCACATGTATAGAAAAATACTATAGCAAAATTTTCACTTTCAATCAATTTAAAGTTATGGTACATTGTTTACTATATAGGATTACTATCACATTTTATTATTTTTAAATTTCTTTTACCGTATCTTCTTTTGTCTTGTTCGTGTTCACCTTTTGCTGTATCGATAGGATATTTTATGAACAAGCTAATCGGCTTGGACCCATTGAATATAGACATGTGTATTGTGACAGATGTATGATATCTGATAGCTTATTTACTACAGTATTTACTGCACTTTCGCAATCTTCGACTTTTATTAATAAGGACCGTTCTCTATCTTTATATCTTGATCTATGTAGCTTTTCACTAGACGCAAGAGTGAAAAAAATTTTCCAGTATGGTTATTGTAGTTGAAAATAATCCTAACCCATCAATCAATACTTTATCTAATCGTCATAATGATCAACGACGTCAGCAACAACAGCAAACAGATCCGGTGACACAACTTGTAAAAAAGAAAAGATTTAATATTGAAATTGAAGAAGATGATGATGAAACTATTGAAGATGAGCATCCGCTTTGTGATAAGATATCAAATCATGATAGCCGAATTAGAATGATGGAAAATCACCAGCGACAAGTTGGCAATAAAACCAAAGTTAGCGCCGAAAACGATAGCAATGTCGATCCCGATGATAAATTAATAGATGATGCGGCTAGTAGTACAAGTCAAAACAACGACAGTAATAGTAATAACAAAAATACTAAAGGAATTATCCGCAACGAATTTGGTGAGAAACCGCCTTATTCCTATAATGCCTTAATTATGATGGCAATTCGCAATTCAAGCGAGAAACGTTTAACCCTTAATGGTATATACGAATTCATCATGAAAAATTTTCCTTTCTATCGTGAGAATAAGCAAGGTTGGCAAAATTCCATTCGGCATAACCTTAGCTTAAATAAATGTTTCATTAAGGTACCACGAAGTTACGATGACCCTGGCAAAGGAAACTACTGGATGTTAGATCCTTCAAGTGAAGATATGTATATCGGTGGTACATCAGGTAAACTACGACGCCGATCATCTAGTCGCCGTATGAGAACATTCGCTCATTCACCAGTATCTGCAATGGCTGACTATTTGCAATACGGTGCTGCTGGTCTTTCTACTCTATCCCGATCTCCGTATTGGCCTGGTTTACATTCCGCTTATTCATCACGTATTTGTAGTCCGGCAGTTTATCCTACACATACGCCAACATCTCATCATCCTAACCAACACCTTACATCATCTCCATACCCAGGCTATCCACCTAATCCGGCACATCATCATCGTGTTGCAGCAGCTGCTCTGCTGGCACCTTCATCAGTTCCGTCAATCCAATCACCAGCGGTTTATTCTCACTACTCTCATCCCATGATTAATTCATCTGTTATGGCAACTCCCAACTTAACTAAATCAAATAACGAGTTACCAGTTGACAGATTAATTTCTGTTGGCTCGTCTGCCGTAGTTAAACCTTCCAGTTTAGCTTACAATCAAAGCGCAAGCCCATCATTAATGGCAGGCACACCGCCAAAATATAGCCTGCAAATTCCACCAGTTTATCCATACCCATCGTCCTTACCTATGAAAGATATATTAGCTGCTACAAATGATCATCGTTTTAGTGATCGTAGCTACATGCTACAATAAGAAAATGTCATAAGAAGCGAAAACTGGTATAACTAAGGCGCTTCCTGTTGATTTTGTATAGGTATTGAACCCATTCAGATGGGTAGGCATTAAAAATTGACATTAGTTATATCATACTTTAAGCTAATCGTAGAACCCATTTTATTCTAACTTGTGCAGTAAAGAGTTAATAAAATACAGTAGAATCCTATATTTTATTCTGCTTAATAGCTGTCGTGTTTAATAATCCTGAACCGATGGCTATCGACAACCATGAATTCCTATTGTCTAGTAATGTCCAGTCGTCATAATTGCTCTTAAGTAAGAAACTTATAACACGTTTAACTTTACCAAACTACTTTAAATCTCAATGAACTTCGACTGATTCCAGCATTACTCAATGGTCATTATTCAATACTGGCATAGATTTAAAGCAATTCAATTTACTGAATAATTGTAAAGATGATCCTAGACAAGGAATTAAAATTAAATTTACTCCTATAATGTGAGATATTATAGTCTACATAATAGGAAAAGTAACGGCAGATTTATTAGATACAAATTCAGTTTTCAAATGATTCATTTTGATGTGATCTACTTCGTATGCATATACCAATATCGTTTTCATTTGAAATATATGCTACATCGCTATTGCTTTAGATTCTACCAAGAATGAATTTTATAATCGTTGTAGAACTCTGTTTTGACGCAGAATGAAACTATTCAAAAAGCTGTATTGATTATAGAAGTTACATTTCTTCGTAGTGTTCACTATTATTATCAAGAGAATTCGGTTAGAGTAATACTGACCGATATAATTTAGTGCTAGTTTTTATCCCTCTCGTACACTTATAATTCGATTAATCATTTGAAGTTTTCTTAGATACTTCACAAACAGCATTAAATTAATTACAAGCTAATTGTATTGGCTTTAACTAAGTAATTCTGTAATTTGACTAAAGAGAATATGCAGATGTTGATATTAAAATATTATCTTGTTCAAATCTGGAACTTTGCTTCTTTTTTATTATGCAAGTACGCTAATTGCTTGATGTATGACATAATAATCAATCATTGTGGTAGTTTTAATTTTAGTGTTGGTTGATGATATATTGGATTAATATCAGAGAGGCTAAATTTTCCAGTATTGGCCTTAAATGACTTTGATGCTTATTCTCATTATATCTCATGATTTATTTCATGAATGTTCCTCTGTTTTACAACGATTTTATATTAATACAGAGGATCTGTAAAATATCATTATAGTCAGTAATAATTACTTGCAATAATAATATATTGAATATATCACAAGATAGGATATCCTCAAATCTTAGGCAAGTTTTTACATAGCACTCGATGTGATTAATTTATACATCGTTTGCTTTTTAATTGACATCGATATCTACTGAATTATATCCTCTTTATAATCGCTAAGTTATGATTATTTTTTCTTGTTAACAATATCTGTATTAACAAGATGCACTTATATCATGTCTGCTTCTATCTCAAATATTTTACTTCATGCCCGCTACTGATTTACGATTACGCCTAGTTATAAATACCTATGAAATAGACACTTTTACTATAGCTGCCGTAGGTCAATTTTTAATCTATTCCGGCCGTAATAGAACGAAATCTTCATTTTGCTGACTATACAGCTCTTTTCAATCTTTGAAGATTCTCAACTTAATTCTATTTCATCTCTATCCATATCACATCAATATCTGTCATATATATATATATATATATATAACACAATGTCTAATTCTGAATTTTCTGTATAGTATTAAAGGAAATTGCAGACAATAAAAGATGATAATTCAATCTTAAATTTTGAATCGGTAGTTGTTTAGAGTGAATTTATAGTTGGTTTGCCGTACGTTATAGGTTTGACTCGGTCTAATTTAATTTGCTTAGAGCGTGAAATAGGTAAGGGAAAGGGTGCAAGAGTTGAATAAACAAATTTAGATAGATAAATTAAATATTTACTGACGCCTACGGCTGTTATTATACTTAATTATTGTGCGCTAGGTAGCGACGTACGAGTAAGCAACTTCTGCATTCGCCTAATGTATCATCTAGCAAACAATAATTCTTCCAAGGTTTACCTTAGTTTGTTAAAATAAATTAAAGAGTATCCAGTTATCATCTTCGTATCCCACAGACTATAGATACTATCCGTATCAGTAACAAATAAGTCACTAATATACGCTAATCATCCGATATTTTATTCGTAACGCTCATTAGTTATGATTATACTTCCCAATGGTGTAAACTTGCATTTATTAATGCGGTACGGATAAATATGCGATTAATGTACATTATGTCTAGCATCGACTTTCTGTGAGATTTTTGATATCTAAGAATAGAATTGATTATTTACGAGACTTTAATATATAGACGTATCCAAAGGTAATGGTTTAATGTCAAATTTCTTGGAAATTAATTTTGAGCATTAAGATGAAAACTATTTCTTATGCGATTTAGATCAACTTTTCTAGGAAAACAATCACGTTTAGCATACATAGGTTATTACTTGTACATTTATTATTTATTCGGTAATGACGATTGTTACGAAAAATTCGTTACCGCAATTTTATTAATTTACTGTTATTCTTCATAAAGAGTACTAGGGCAGAAAAATGGAACAATCAAGAAATATAATGATAAAAAAAGCTCAGCTTAGTTTTCCTTAATTTTTTTTAATTATTGCAAATGTCAAAATATGACTTTACTAAATTAGAGAAAAAAAGGAGGCAAATAAAATCCTTGAAGAAAGGCAAAGTAAATACAAAAGGCAATAGCGGTAGTTTCACATGTTAATCAATTGCCTAAAATTCAATGCTTTATTCTAATCCTTCAATTATTTGCTAATGGTAATGTCATATACTATTCTTTATGCTATGTATACGCCTAGATGGATATTCAGTATCAACTAGTATCGCATACATGTAAATAAGGGAAATTATACTGGTAATTTATGTATCTTCTAATACATATATATTTGAATATTCACAATTTTAAATTCAAATTAAACGGCTTTACTAATTAATTTGGCCTAGAATGACTTATCTGCGATTTATTAACGTATGATGACATCAATAGTATAAATTGTTAGTATGCCAGAAGATTGAAATATGAATAAAATATAACTTCTAGTATTGATTGTGATCATTTATTTATTTTATTTACCTATTATATTTTATAAATAATAGATAATTATCCTAATTGAATGTGTAACTGCTATTAGAGCCGACAATGATTATAGCTTTGTGTAAGATTTTGTTAAAGTCCTATACTCTATAATTTTAAAGAGTTTGGATTTTACTTTTATCCATTCTTGTAGAATGACTCATTGCAATTGAATTTTAACTATATTTTATTTACAAATCGTCACTGATATCTGTAAAAGAAGTAATTGGTAGTCACTTTAAAGATGTCCATTAACCATGTTATTGTAGAGTAATATTGAGTTAGATGGATAATGAATAATATGATCAGTGTTTCAGAAATTTCTAACATAACTGTTCAAGTTGTTCGATCTGACTTGACTTAGAGTTAAATACTGATAATATGATTTTGATAGAAAATTGATATGCTTGGCATATTCATTGGGCTCATGATTAAAACTGCTTGGCAGTATTTATCATGCATGAAATAATGAATTATACGAGTACATTTGTAGTTGTGAATCGACAGATGCAGTTTACTAGCTACGAGAGTTATTCATTTTCACTTTCTTAATGTTTGTATTATACTATGGCAACAATCATCACTGGCCAAGATTGATGAAAGTAAAAATCACTTTGATTAGGTATCAATCAGACAGTCACAAAGCCTTTTCATGTGCACGACCAGGAGTAAATTATTTTTTAAATTTTTTATATTTTGTTCTGTCCATTTCTTTTATGCTACCATGTTCTGATTGAACATTTTGATCGTTGTTAAAATTCGATTCTTTAAATACATCAGATTTAATGGCCCATTAGCCATTCCGCTTTACTGTTTTTCTCTTACCCGATATTTTATTGGACATGCCAAATCAGGCAATGTAGCAGTGTATATCGCAACTTTTGTGTATCTTTTCACTGGTGTTTACAATATCAACGTGTTACACGTTTCAAAAAGTCGTTTCTCAAGGATAACATACTCGTAGTCTATTTCAATGCTAAAAGCATTGCTTTTGCTATAAAATGTAGTTCCAGCTTAGATGCTAGCAATGCAAGAAGTAGAATATTGCTTATCTCAATCTTGGATCAATATGATACTATCGGCAACATTGTGGCAATTTGCATTAGCAATTCACTTTACTGTTGTTGCTGGAAAATGAATTTTACTGGGTAGGAAATAAGTGAAAGTTAGAATAAAGAAATTTAGAACTATATTCTATATCATTATTATTATTACATCTCATT